AGCATTTCTATGCAGTAACACAAACAGCTCTTCTGTCAGGAAGGGAAATGACTGTCGAAAGAACTGGATGAAAATAAGCAGCATTCTATGATCAACACACACGAACATAAATGGGGCATATGTGTTGCCTTGGTAGGTGCTGAAATGGATCAGACACTCTTCTCATAATTACAGAACTTTCTTTCCATTTTGTGTAAATATACTTTTCATATTCAAAAGAAGATTGTGGCCTTAAAAGTTTACTCTTCTTGTTGATCATAATCAGGTATTAGGGAAGATAAGGAGTGTGTGGCACAGAGCCCAAATACCTGTTATGAATCATAGAGAAATTCATTACTTTCTCCTGTAAAATCTGTGCAAATGCAGTGGTTCTACTCCATGAAAGCCTCAGGAACTTAGGACCCTTCTGTCTCGTGGATTCTCCATTCTTAGGGGTTTTCACCCTAGTCTTCATAGTCTAAAGTGGCTCAGAATATATCTGCATTCCCATCAGTGAATAGGAAGAGGGTAAAGTGAGGAGGAGGTCATAATCTTTTCTTTGAAAGGGTGTGGTGTGAAGTTGCACACGTCATTTTTTATTTCTCATTGGCCAGAACTTAGTCCTAAGGTCACACCTAGTTTTAAGGGAGGCTGGGAAATGTCTTTATTCTGAATGGCCATAGACTTGGCTCATCTTGTGCTAAACTTGAGAATTGACACTGGAGGATACTTAGCAACATGCAGTCATGAGGACAGACACACCTAATCTAAAGTAAGTTGTATTATACAACCTATTATATTACAAATTTTGTTTTCCTTAAGCATTTATACTACTAGATATTTTCTTGTTTATTTACTTGCTTATTTGTTTATTGAATATTTCCTCCCCCTGCAATGTAAACTCCAGCTAGGGAAGGGTCTTTGTGTCTTGTTATTGCCACTATGCCAATGTTTAGAACAATGCTTTGCCTACAGTAGAAGTCCAATAATTTTATGTTGACTAAAGGAATGAATTACATGTTCTCTTTCAAAATCTGATCATTGGATTCATTTAATAGTCTGTATGCAGAGAGTGAAGTTCTTCATGTGTTTACACTAAGTATGAATAAACAGATAATAAAATGTATTCATATTTTTGATAGCTATAAAGGTCTGTTTAATTATGTATATTGTGCCAGGTTCAGAGGCTTTTCATGTAAGTGTCCTTCCAATAACCAGCATCATGTGTATGTTTCCTGATTCAGTTCCTTCCAACCCAGCTGCCATGTATAGTCTGTGGAATTTCTCTAGTCCAGCTGGGTCAGATGATTTTTCCAGTGTTTCCGTGTTGACCAGACACTGTAGCCAACAGAAGTTACAGTCAGGAGAACCAACACCAGATGTGATTTCTACCAAGAGAAAAGGATCATTCCCTCTCACAATGAGTTTGGTACATGTAAAGAACGTAGTCCTAAAGCCTAATAATGATAAAATAGAATCTGTGCTTATATTGCTCTTTACTGTACATGGGTCTACAGACGCGCGCGTGCACAGGCTCACACACACACAGGTATCACCTCCATTAAGATCCATTGGATCTTTAATATAAACCCAGGGAGGTAAGTATGCCATTATTTTCATTTTACAAATAAGACAACAAACTCAGAGAAAGTAAATATGAATGACATCGCAGAGACCAAAATCAACCTGAGTTTTTCATACGCATATTCTCTTTATCCTATACATATTCTCAATGGCAATATGATTCTTTCTTTGTCAGATTTAACATCATTCTGAAATAAAGAAGACATAAGAAACTTGATCCCTTCTAGCGTCTTTTAGCCAGGAAAATGAGCATAGGTGTTATCACTTACTTACATTGTTACCCCCACTATCAAAAAACCCAAAAAACAAAAAACAAACCCCCCCCAAAAAACAAAACCAAACACCTTAATTTTATGATCCTGTTAAAAAACCCATAAACCACCCATGACTGGAAGGCTTGGTCCCTGTGAGCATTGCCCTGTTTCTTCGCCACCACCCCCTTCAAACCCTTCTCCCCCATGATGTTAGGAAGGATGCACTCTTGGGACAAATGACTCAAATTAGAGATGAAGAGTCGATGATATAATGTCCATAAAGTTCACGTTCTACCACACAGTATGATTAGCAGGGCCTAGTGCACAGTAAGCCTTTGATAATTAAGTCTGTTACAGAAATAGGATGTGATTGTTGATGTTCAAGCATTTCACTGGTTAAAAAGAAAATCTCTTCCCTTTGCCCATCCTCGGATGGTTCCCTCGCTGAGACTAGGCAAAGGAAAACAAACAATGAATCATGGAACACCACATCAAAAACTAATGATGTACTGTATGGTGACTAACATAACATTATAAAATAAAATTAAAAAAATAAAAAAGGAAAACAAGCAAACATTCTAGGGTTGAAGAATTTTCCCTTGATCCCTTAATCAAATAGTTGCTACTTTATAACCGGTCCCTAGAAGGGGCAGGTCTTCTCAGAAATTTTGAACAGCGGCTGTTTTCTCCTGGCTGTGACTCAGAGCTCTCAGACTGCGGGAGAAGGTAGGGGACTGGCAGGCCTCGCTGGGGCTGGATTCCACCCCCTTCAGCCTGATGGCTGAGACCCGTTCTTTCCCCATCGCCAAATATGCAGGGGCTTGTTTTAATTGCAAGCCCTAGGGGGTGGGGTATTGAGTCCTGATGTTAGATCCCTGGGAGTTTTCTGCAGGTTTGGCTGTTTAGGGGGAGTCTTATAGGGGCTGGATAAGGGATTAGGCATCCCTGATCCTCTCAAGGTCCTTTTTTTTTTTTTTTTTAACTTTCCTTCTCTTTTATTTTACTTTTCTTTCTTTCTTGTATATAATTGATGTTTTCTCAATTTTATCTAATTTTATGCTGTGGAAATGGAGTTTAAAACCTCCCCCACTCGCGACCGCAGCCAGATTGCAGCCCCTAACCCCTTTCATATAGAGATATTCAAGGGGCCGACTCTGATCCCTTCTGTTAATGCTTGGACACTGCAAATCTAGAACTGAAACTTTAAAGAGTAAATCTACGTAAACCCCACTCCGCATTCAAATCGCCTCTTGGTCTGGATCACGAGTTTTCAGGTTTCCTGCAACAGGCTGCAGGGGTGTGGCTCACTGCGCCATAGCTCGCCGGCTCCTCCCTCTCCCTGGCGGGTGCTGAATCGCAAGCTGCCGGGACTCCTGGATTCCTGAGGGTCCACCTTAACACGCAGCCCCCGGCTCAGGGAGCCCCCACTCTATGTTCCCAGCTGCCTCGTATTGGCTTTAACCTTGGTCAGCTGCTGTGGTCAGTCTTTGCCTACCTGTTGCTAGGTGCATTTCTGAAATGGTGGGGGAGAAGCTGCAGAAGAACAAATTTTCCTCAGAGAAGGATTTGTTCTGAGGGTATAAGGCTGTTTATTTTTGTAGGAGACACCTCTCTGCTCTGTCTCTTCACCTGAAGCCACCCTTGGTGAGTACTGCCAAGCCTTAGAGCTTTGCTTGCCTGTCGGGTTTCTTCAGCTGTTGTACCCCTGTATCCTGGGTCCTTCTCCTGCTTTAAGCTTCCTACTGATGTTACTAAAAATTCTTCCTTCCCCAGCGCCAGCCTGTTGCACCAGAGACCTCACCCCAGTCAAGCATCTGCAGGATAACCCTTTTCCTGAGCATTCTCTCCTCTCCCTACAGCTGCTACTTCCCTCTGTGTTTCTATCAATTGCGAGCCATTTAGCCACCCGCAGTTTTTATCCAGTTCTTCAAAATAACAAACATGGAACCAAAAGCCTGATGTATTGGTGCTGATTTGTGGAGATGGGACACGATGTACAAGAAGCACCAATGCTATCAGACAGATGAGGCACATGGACATTGCTCTGGATGGGGGTAGGGTGTGAGGTTTTAAATGGTGATTGGGATGAGCATAAAGGGCCTAGAAGTATTTCTGCCAGAATCTTCAGGATCCTTGAGGGGGGTTGTTCTAGGAAGGAAAGTTGCCTTTCTCAAGAGCCTACATGTTTTTCTGGACTGTGAGTTCCTGAGTGAAGCTTGGGCTTCCCCATGACTCATCTGCCCTGGGACTCTGGATAAGCACATTAGTTTCACTCTCCTTCAGCATTCTTTGTGCACCAGGCATTTCTGTTTTAGTTCCTTAAGTCGTATTTTCAGTGAAAAGTCCCCTAACTGGTGCTGGAGATTGCAGCTCATGTCACCCTTGACAGAACAGGGAGTGGCAAGGTCACAAGTGATTCTGTTCAGAGTGGTCGGAGGGCAGCTTCCAGGGCTATTAGGGCCAATGACTAGGACCAGACCCACCTGCTAATTCTCCGGATAAAAGAATCATAATGTAAATCATAGTCTAGGTATATAAATTTATCTCCTTGTTGCCATATCACATGAGGTGGTTGTCTAAGATTATAATAAAATTTGGAAGATACAGTTAGGATGACATGATTTAAAATAGAGGACATGTTGCATATATGATATTTATATATGTATATTAGAATATCTTAGACAGAGGAAACAAACAGTGATTTCAATTATGAGCCCCAAAAGAAAAGTCACAAGATAAATGATCTAAGTTGCAGGGGACCATTTTGGATCAAGCAGTTTCTTACGAAGCGGGTCTCTGGGTAGCATGAACCAAAGTAACAGCCAAGGTCTATTTAACAACTGTAATAATTATAACAGGAACAACATTTCCTTGTATTAAATATACTTTCGAAAAAGTGAAACTGGTATTTGAACCAGCCTTGGGTGTTTCAGAGACTTCCTGTTTAGGGGGGACTTAGTGAATCTTACAGCCTCCCCATTTGGGTCTGACATTTAGGAGAAGGCTTACTATTGGTATCTTTGTCCCTTCTTTATAGCTTTTTTCTCCTTCCAGCTCCATCATCAATCCTCTGAATATATTCTTACGCTGGACAGAGCACATAAAGTCTGGTATTTGAATAAATAATCCCCAACATATCACTGTTTTCATGATGTGTCTTTTCCACAGTAGCCCTATATCACCATGGTGCTCCCTGGTGGCCTACTAACCCGCAAAGAGGAACCAGGTAAGCCTGATTCATGACCCTTACTTGCCACTGTATCTTTGGCATCTGGCCCCATGCCTGGCAGGCAGGAAGACTTCTATTAAAGTTTGTTCACCTCTTGAACTCTGGTCTATCTCCAGTACCCCTGAAGAGCATCTGTGTGACCTTGTCCATTCGTGAGTTCGTGGCTGGTGTGTCTGCTACCTTAAACTATGAGAATGAGGAAGATGTTCCTTTGGAGACCTTCTTTGTGTTCCCCATGGATGATGACTCAGCTGTCTACAGCTTTGAGGCCGTGGTGGATGGGAAGAAAATTAAAGCAGAATTACAGGAGAAGAGGAAGGTACTAGGGATGAGTAGATTATCTCTCCCCTTCTTATTTCCTTCATGCATACTCTTAGGATCTCTACAAATGCTCCTTCACAAAAAGTGCTGATGTGGAATGCTTTCTTCTACTCCCCTCTAGCTGCTATTTTCCTAAAATCATTGGCGGGGGGGGGGGGGGGGGCGGGAATCAATCAGAGGCATTCAAAGTATAGCTGTGAGCTTGGCAGGACCGATCACAGGCCTTCTCCATCAGTTTTTGTTTCCTGTACTACTCATCACTTCATTCAAACACGCCGCCTTTGCTATCACCTCTCTTTCTCTGTTCTCCTTAGGCCCACAGCATCTATGAGAGTGCCATCAGCAACCGCCGCCAAGCTTTCCTATTGGAGGAGGACAAGTACTCCAGGGACGTCTTCTGTTGCAATGTGGGGAACCTGAACCCAGGGTCAAAGGTGGCGCTCACCCTGAAGTCCGTGCAGGAGCTGCCCTTGGAAGCAGATGGAGCCCTGCGCTATGTGCTCCCAGCTGTTTTGAATCCTCGATACCGTGGCTCTGGTGACTATTCTTTCCTTTTAAATCCCTGCGGCGGGTGATATAATTTGGGAAACCCCCTCAAGGTTGTGGGGGTGCTAAGAAGCATGGGAAGGGGAAACAGAATTAAAGTCACTTTTTGTAGGATCGTTTGAGGACAGTTGCCTTGATATGAAGACTCCTGTAGTTCCTTTGGAGGACCTGCCCTATACATTCAGCATGCTTGCCACCATCAGTTCCCAGCATGGCATTGAGAGGATCCAATCCAACTGCCCTTTCAGCCCTACTGAATACCTTGGAGAAGATAAGACTTCTGCCCAGGTAATTCATAAGAAAGCACTGTTATTGCCAGCACCCCTATTCTTTGGGTTCTGATCTTGTTCCTCACTCAGTCCTTCCAGAATGGTCCTTACTTTCCCCTATTAACTAGAGGGAATCCCACTTTGTTCCTTCTTTATCCCCATTTCTTCTCCAAAGCCTTCTCTTCATTCTTGTCCCTGCTCCTGACCACACTTCCTCATGGAAGAAGCCTGTAGCTCTCAGCCCTGACCTCAGCCGCACGCAGCAAATGGTGAGAGTTCTAATATGGATCTTTTGCTTGTTCTTAACTCAGGTTTCCTTGGCTGATGGACACAAATTTGATCGAGATGTGGAACTCCTGATTTACTACAGTGAGGTGCACACCCCCACTGTTGCTGTGGAGATGGGGCAACCTAAAGACAACCCAGGTATTCTCTTTCTTCCTTTGTAGTGACCACCTAAAGGGGAACTCCTGTCTTGGAATTACCCTCAAATTACCCTCACTTTTCTTTCCTCCTGTCCAGTAGTGGGTAAAACATTCAAATAGCTTACATTATGGTGTGCAAAAATGGTGAGATACAATGATTATCCATCTACGTGATTATGTCTTGAGGGCAGATTTAAGTGGGTCAGTACATAATTGGATCAAGGACATGGACAAATAATTCACAAGAGGAAACACAACTAGTTTACAAACATAAATGACAACGATCAGTCTCTACAAGTGCAAATTAAGATTAAAAATAACTGGAAGTTTGTATCTCTTAATCCCTTTGATCTATTTCTATTCTATTCTTATGTATTATCTATTTTACTAAGAGGTATACATTTTCAGTTGCAAAATAAATAAGTCACAGAGATGAAGAGGAGAGCACAAGGAATAGAGCCAATAAGATTGTAATAATATTTGGTGGTGGATGGTGACTATACTTCTTGTACTGAATGCTGAGTAATGTATAGAGTTGTTGAATCATTATGTTGTATACCTGAAATTAATATGACACTGTATGTTAATTATACTTCAATAAAAAAAGTAAATATTCATTTGTAGGAAAAATGAAATAAAAATAACTATGTGATATTTTCACTTTTCAAACTATCAAAGATTTCCAAATCTGATAATGCCTCATCATCCATCTCCAGAGATTTTTTTTCATCTCGCCCTAGTATCTTAACTTCTAAGACTAAGTTTAGTTTCTTAATAAATTTAGTTTCTTAATTTCTTATATTTTCTAAATTCTCCTGTCTATATGTGTACTTTTCTTTATGATTATAACTAGTATCACCCATGTCAGTCTGTTGCTCTCTTGGGGCCTTCCCGGGCAGCCATGCCCCTGGATTGCAAGGACCATGAAGCCAAACTAGAAAGATACTGCCACTTCTGAAACATTTTCCCCATTTGTCGAATGGAAGGATGTTTGCGGACAGTCATAGTCAAAGTGCTATAGCTTGGGTTAGGTTCTTACTTCTGTAACTACAACCACTCTGAAGACAATTTCCTGCAGTTGGTCCTCCATAGGGCATTCTTCTCTCTCACTGTTAATGTTTGGCCAAGGCTGCTGAGAGCTCCTTAGTTTGTCCTCACTTGTTCAACCATTTTTCCTCCAGGCAAGCTGTCCATGCTAAAGCTGTTAGAGGGGCTCCCAACCTCAACCAGGTTTGCTCTAGCTTCTCTTGCGTGAAGCTCCATGCTCTGTCTGTATGTTAGTTGAGTCCTTTTGTACTGGTTCTGTCCTTTCCCTTTAGGGGGTTCCCCCTTGGGTGTCCACGAAATACTCCCACAGTAGTGGGGGTCTGGTCTTCAGTCAGAATTATTTTAATCCACCACGGAAAGTTTTATAATCCTGAATCTTAAAAGACATGAGTTGAGATCTCAGTTCCTTTCCTTCCAAGCAGTTCTCTTGGCCCTTGGCAGAATTCCTCATCTGTTCCTCTGGCGGGCTCTGCAGGCCAGAGGGGGACATCGGGGGTAGCCTTTATGATCTTGTGAATCCCTCTAGCAGGGCCACTCAAATCTGGCTTTCCAGACCATCTGTCTGGTCAAGATGACTTGCTGTTCCCATCCATATAAAGAAGCAAACAACTGGCAGCTTGGCTCACTAAAACCATTGGGAGTTCTGCCAAATGAAGCATACTACTACATGATGAAAATACAACATTTGTATTTTTTAAACTTAGAGTGTACTTAACCATGTTAAGAACATGATTTTTTAAAAATTATATGTATAATTTAATAAAAGTAATATAAAAATTATAAAAACTTTCTAAAATTGTTATTAAGAGTTTAACCTGAGTTAAGCTCTAGGTTGAGTTCCTTAAATATATGCTATCACTTAACCCTTAAAATAATCTTGAGGCAGGTATTATTACTTGGATTCTTCAGATGAAGAAACTGAGGCTAGCAAGCTGAGGAGCTAGGGCTTGAAATGTCTTATTTAAAAATGAAGAAGCAGGGGTGCCTGGGTGGCTCAGTCGTTAAGCATCTGCCTTTGGCTTAGGTCGTGATCCCGGGGTCCTGGGATCGAGCCCCGCATGGGGCTCCCTGCTCAGCAGGAAGCCTGCTTCTCCCTCTCCCGTCCCCCTGCTTGTGTTCCTTCTCTCGCTGTGTCTCTGTCAAATAAATATGTAAAATTTTTAAAAATAAATAAATAAAAAAGAGGAAACAGAAACTCATGTAGGTGAAAATAACTTGAGCCATGCCAAAGGAATTATAGTAGAAATACCTAGATAGTGCATTTTGTGTATCTGGCATTGTTCTAAACACATTAGATATATATACTTATTTCGTCATCATGGCACCCTTTCTGATTTACCAGTCTAGCCCCAATCGCATTACAATCAGCTGTGTCTTAAAATGGAAGGGAATTTATCTTGCCTATTAAAAAAAGCTACTCTTCCACCATGTATCCAGAGATCTAGATTTTTCAGAAGTTATCCTTGAACCAGTGTTTAAGCAAGTACTTGCTGAATTGCACCCATTTTATTTGGAAGCCAGTTTGGTCATTAGGGTATCCCAGGGTTAAGAGATTAAACTGAGCCGCATCCTATAGGCATACTGAATCCCAAGGCTACTGAGAATTTAAACTCATCATTCTTGAATCACTTTATGAAAATAGGATATTGGAATTCCATTCTTTGTTAACTTATATTTTCTGAACTGTAAAACAAGTGGATGTAACCCAGCCATTCTCATTTCATCTCTATCTCAATACTAACATTTCAATTCCTGCATCAGTTTTCACTTGTTCCTCAAAATAAAATCAAAGCTTTGACAACTTGGTAACAAAGGCCAGACTCCCATGGTTTCCTCTGTAGTATTGTTTGGGTGATGCTATTAGAGTCTAACACACATCCTAGCTCTGGAGATGTTTCATACCCAAAGCAGATGGACTTTCCTTGGTGTGTATGACACTATACTCTCAGCTCTTACAAATTGTCAACATAAGAATTCCCCATAAACATCATGTTTTCAAAAGTGTAATTAAAGACTTAAATAAGGACCCGTGTGATAAATTTCCCATTGATTTGATTTGAAAGGAAGGTGTCTCTGCAAAGAAATTAGCTCGATTCTTCTGGCAAATGCTGGAACATTTTAACTTCATGCATTTCACTCATTTACTTAGCTGCTAGGAAACTAGCATCCAACTATATATTTTAATTATGGCTTGTGCCTGGTAACCTCTACCTTCTTTTTTCTCTTTCATATCTTTTCTGCTTCTGTATCTTTTAGGTTTATAACTCACCTCAAACCCTTTGCCAGCAGACACAGTATGAAGATCGAACAGTGTTTTAGATTCGGATTTTCTCAACTCCCTATTTAACTCACTGTAATTGATTTTTGAGGTCTTTAGTATTCTTGAGTTCCTTTTCATATTACAGTGTCCTTATCCTTTCTAACTAGATGGTTTCATGAAAGATCCGTCTGCGATGGTGTGTTTCTACCCAAATATCCCAGAAGCTCAGTCACCAGTTATCTGTGGAGAATTCGTCTTCCTCATGGACCGCTCAGGAAGTATGCAATGCCCCATAAGTAAACAGGATAAATCTCAGCTGCGCATAGAGGCAGCCAAGGTAAAACTAGTTCCTCTCTCTTTCTGGTTACATGCACAAATGGGAATGAATTTCAGGAGTTAAATTAGGGCCCATCTGGAACTTTGGGTGTGTTCCCCCTCTGAGCTACATCTACCATGACCACTCTGGGGCTAGCCTTGGACTATAAGGGCCTGGACTCATGAAGTGGGTGAAGGTCCGCCCTCTCAAGAGTTAGATTGGCAGCATCTGTGTGTCTGACAGGATCCTCTCTCACTGTCTCCCCATACTCTCTTCCTTCAGGAAACACTGCTTTTGCTGCTGAAGAGTTTGCCTATAGGCTGTTATTTCAATGTCTATGGATTTGGAAGTTCCTATGAGGCATTCTTTCCGTAAGTTTCTAGAAAGCCCATTGAGAGTCCAAAAAGATACTTTAAAGAAAGGACTAGATTGCTGAAGGGGGTTACTCCACAGTTGACTTTGGCAGTGGTTATTTCAGGTGACGTTGTTTACAGTGGGGGCATCTCAATTCAGGGACTTGGTACTGCATGACGTTGAACAGCTATCATGTCACTGGGCATCACTGGGCATGTTTGTTTTTTTCTCAGGAATAGTGTGCAATACACTCAGCAGACCATGGAGGAGGCACTGAGGAGAGTTAAGCTTATGCAGGCTGACCTGGGGGGCACGGAAATCTTGACACCACTCCAGATCATTTACAGGGAACCTTCCATTGTGGGCCACCCACTTCAGGTAGGAACTGGAAGAGAGCTGATAGGAGGCGACAGAGGGAATGAAATCTCTGTTCAAAAATCCATACCCCGAGCTTCATTGTAGGATTGTTAAAATATGATATATAATTCAGAGTCTTCTATCAGATAGTAAGGAGAAAAAGACAAGAAGCATGTAATAGAATTCTTTTTCCTTAGCTCTGTGCTGTGAGCTGTGGGTGATGGAGGTCCTTTTGCAGAGTTCCACAAAAACCTTAGATGAGACGAGAAGGGGGAGGTGAGGAAAATCCCAGGTGCCCAACAAACCTTGTGAGAATGTGGTGCAAGTGACCATGGAAAATTAGGGCCCTCATGCCAGTCTGAGGAGGCATCAGTCTCTGCAACAAAGTGGTTGATTTTATTCCAAGGGTGAATTCTGGTATCTTAAAAATGATCTTCACAGAGATTTGATGAATGTCTTCTTTCCTTCGACAGCTTTTTGTCTTCACAGATGGAGAAGTTACTGACACGCTTAATATAATTAACGAAGTCAAGAGAAACAGGCTGAGGCACAGGTAGGTAGAGAATGTGATTTCTGGGTGACTGATCCAGGTAGTGCCACCTGTAGTCTAATCCACATGACATTCTAATCCAGTGTTGACATTCCTTGTGGAGGATAGAGTGATTGAAGAATTTTAGTTTTACGAGCTGACAAATTCTTTTCTATATCATGTCCCCCCTCTCCACTAAAAGATAATTTTCTAAATAACATCAGTAACACCACAAAGTCATTGTCCTTTATTTTTTCTAAACCAGAATGGAAACAAAAATTAAATAGTAAGACAGTTTTTTAAAACTATAAACATTTTTATCAAAGTAAAACATACACAAAACTACACAAATCATAAATATTCAGCTGATCACTGTATCACTTCGATCACTCCTAACTTTTTCCTCTCCAAAGGAAATAGCTCTCCTAATTTATAACACCATGGTTTATTTTTGTTTTTAAATAAAAATAAATGGGTTATACAATATGTTTTTGTTTCTGTGTATCTTCTTTCCCTCAGCAGTATGTTGATATTCATACATATTTTGCATGGAGCTGTGGTTAATTTTTATTGGTGTATAGTATTCCATAGGGTGATTATGCCATAATTTATTTGTTGATTCTTCTGCTGATAGACTTTGGTTTAGCTGCTAAAAATAATTCTTTGGTGAATATCCTAGCATTCTTATATATGTATTTTTTGCACATATACACATAGGCGTGTATACATACTTATTTCATATATATGTGCATGTATATACATATGCACACAAAATTTCCTTGTGTTGACGTAGTTGTAGAATTTATTGGGAATGCCAGATAGTTTTCCAAGTTATTGTACTAATTTAATTCGTACCAGCATTGTATGAGGGTTCTAGTTGCCCAGATTCCTATCCAAAATTTGGCATTGTTTGTCTTTGTAAATCTTAACTAATTTTGTGGGTGTAAAGTGGTATCTCGTTATGGTTTTAATTTGCATTTTTCTGGTAACTAATGGAGTTGAGCGCCTTTTCATATTTATTAACCAGTTGGCTGTCCTGTTTTGTGATGTACCTTCAAATCTCTCCTCTTTTTTTTTCTGTTAGGCTTTCTTTTTTTACTGATCTCTAGTTCAATCTGTGGTCAAGACACAAGGGCTTTGTTAATATGTTCTGGAAATATATTTTTTCCTATTCTATAGCTATTCTTTTCACTCTCAGAATGATATCTATTAATAGTTTTTCTTCATTGTAATATAGTTTAATTTTTTAGTCTTTACCTTTACAGTTAGTTTTTTTTGTGTCCTGTTAAAAAGTCTTTCCCTACCCAAAGTCATGAGCTATTTTTGTTTGTTATTTTCTAGAAGTTTTATCATTTTTTCTTTTATAGTTAGATGTATAGTTTGCCTGGATTTTATTTTTATGCATTGTGGAAGGAAGGGGCCAATTTTCATTATCTCTTCATGTTGATATCAAATTGACCCTGTACCATTTAATGAAAAGTTTGTCCTTTCCTCCCTGATGTACAGTGTCATTTTTGTCACAAATAAGCATCTATACATGTATTGATTATTTCTAGATCCTTTGTTCCATTCCATTAGTCTATTTATCTAGACATGTGCCAGAACTATACCAGATAAATTTATGTAGCTTTCTGATAAATATTGATTTCCAATAGAGTAAGTACTCAACTTTGTTTTTTTTTTCAAGATTGTCTCAGCTATTCATGACTCTTTATATTTGTATTTTAGAATTATCTTGTCAATTTTTACCTAAAAAGGAGGCTGTTGAGATATCGATTAGAATTGCATTAACTTTAGGGGCACCTGGGTGGCTCAGTCAGTACAGCATGTAACTCTTGATCTTGGGGTTGTGAGTTTGAGCCCCAAGTTGGGCATAGAGATCACTTGAAAAAAGAGAACTGCATTGATTTTATAGATCAGTTTTGGGAGAATTTAGTATTTACCAAATTGAGTATTTTAGTGTATTTACATGGTATGTCCATCCGTTTATTTAAGCCTTTCTTTTTTTTTTTTTATTAACATATAATATATTATTTGTTTCAGGGGTACAGGTCTGTGATTCATCAGTCTTACACAATTCACAGCACTCACCATAGCACATACCCTCCCCAAATTTAGGCCTTTCTTAATTCTTCTAATATGTGCTTCCAATATTTTATTTAAAAAATTTAAACCTATAGAGAAGTTGTAAGAATAGAACAATATAGTCTTCCACCAGATGTCAACATTTTCCCACATTTGCTTCACCTATTTTTTTTGGTCTGAAATATTTGAGAGCAAGCCACAGATACTGTAATTCTTCATATGCAAATAATAATGCACTCATCTTCTAAGAACAAGGACATCCTGATGAATAACCACAATAAAACTAATAAATTCAGGGTATTTAATGTTGAGATGATACTATTATCTTTTTTTTTTTAAGATTTTGTTTATTTATTTGACAGAGAGAGAGAAACATCGAGAGAGGGAACACAAGCAGGGGCAGTGGGAGAGGGAGAAGCAGGCTTCCCGCTGAGCAGGGAGCCCAACGCGGAGCTCGATCCCAGGACCCTGGGATCACGACCTGCTTAACGACTGAGCCACCCAGGCACCCCAAGATGATACTATTATTATCTAAAGACAGGCTATATTTGCCAAGTTTTCTTTTTTTTTAAAAAAAAATTTTTTGAAAAAGATTTACTTCTTTATTTTAGAGAGAGAGAGGGGGCTGGAGAGAGTGCATGAGTGGGGGGAGGGGCAGAAGGAGAGGGAGAAGGAGAAAAGCAGACTCCCCACTGAGCATGGAGTCTGACACAGGGCTCAATCTCAAAGACCCTGAGATCATGACCTGAGCCAAAATCAAGAGCTGGATGTTTAATGGATTGAGGCACCCGGGTGCCCCAACAAGTTTTCTAATAATGTCCTGTATAGATTTTTGTCTTTGTTTTTGTTCCAGGAGGAAATCGAAGACCAAATATTTTCATTGTTATGTTTTTTTTAATCTTCTCTACTCTGGGAGAGATCCTCAGCTTTTCATTATCTTTCATGACGCTGATATCTTGAAAGAGTACTAGCTAGTTATTTTTGTAGAATCTCAATTTATGTTTGTTTGACTATTTAAATTCATGTTTGGGGTAATATTAAATATTTCAGGAAGAAATATTCCAAAAGTAATGTTGGGTCTGGTGATAAGTTTGACCACTTCGTTAAAGCTGGTATCTGACAGATAACTGAAATTTTGTAAACATCCTGTTCTCGACAAATATTTAGTCAGTAGATTCAGCATTAATTGATGATTATTGTCCAAATGTTATTACTGTCAGTGGTTACAAATAGTGCTTTTTAAATTCTGTCAACTTTTCCAGATTAGTTGGCATCCTACTGTAAAGAAGAGTTTCTCTTCCCCCTCCCCCTCTCCCTTCTTTTTGTTATATCAATATATACTTTTAGATTCTTTAATTATTTTTCAATTTTTTAAGATTTGTTACTTTCATTTTTCATTTAGAGTCTCAAAATTCCAGATTTGGCCAGTGGAAGCTGCTTTTCACTTGCTCCTATGTCTTTTTTGTGTGTCTCTTTGGTTTTTGGAGATTTCTTTCTTTCTTACAAAAAGAGTTTCAGACTCACCTGTACTTTCCCATTCCTGTAGCCAGCTATTTCTACAAGAAGCTTCATTTCTTTAGTGAAAATGATGAATAGAAGTCAATATTTGAGTATTAGGTGTAACTCTTTGTTACTGGGCTATTATTGATGGTAGGCATTTTTGGCAGACTGAACCAGTGAATGTTAATTTTTTTTTTTTTTTTTTTACTGATGCCCCTACTTCCAAGGGAATGACATAACGTTCTTTCGCTTTTTTCTTCTATTCCATATTTGTGTTTTTTTTCCTCCATGGTGAAAAATCTGGTTTCCCATAAAATTAGTAAATATACTCATCTCCTTAATCCAACAATACACACCAAATCTCTCTATAATGTTTTCTAATTCTCTGTGTAGATGTCTTCATGCCTTTTTTATTAGATTTTTGCCCTAGGTGATTTTTCCCCCTATTTTAAATAGTATTTTTGAAACATTTTGTTTACCAGGCACTTATTTCCATGTACTAGTAGCTTTTAAAATTTACATTTTTATTTAAATATTAATTCTAATAGTATATTTGCAGATTCTTACAGATTTTCTGTGGATAATCATGTTTGCAAATGATGTCAGCCTTATTTTTTTCCTTTCCAGTCCTTACATATTTATTTTTCTTCCCTTCTCTGTTGCCTTGGAAAAGAGTTTCAGTACAAACCTGAATAGATATGGTCATAGCTGGCATTCTTATCTTATTTTGGCCTTCAGAGGGGACATGTTCGACACTGCATCAATAAGTGTGATTATTGAGTGCCTGGGTGGCTCAGTGGGTTAAGTGTCTACCTTTGGCTCAAGTCATGATCCCGGGGTCCTGGGACGGCCCCCTGCTCAGTGGGGAACCTGCTTCTCCCTCTCCCTCTGCCTGCCATTCCCCCTGCTTGTGTTCCCTCTCTCACTTTCTCTCTCTCTCTCTCAAAATAAATAAAATCTTTAAAAAAGAAAGTGTGATTGTTGGCTATAGGTTTTTTTTGTAGATATCCTTTATCAGATTAAGGAAATTTTATTTCTGTTTTGAGAGTTCTTTACTCTTTTTGTTTTTTACAAAAACAATGAGTGGTTGTGGAATTATATCAAATGCATTTTATGTATCTATTGAGATAAGTGTATGATTTTATCCTTTTTTCTTTTAATGTGTGAATTATAATGACTAGTGTTAGAATTATAATGACTAGTGTGAATTATAATGACTAGACCTTGCCTTTCTGAAATAAACCCAAATTAGTGGTGATGTATTAACCTTTTTAATGTATTTTTGGATTCCGTTGGCGAATACCTGTTTTGGATTTTTAAATCTATTTTTGTGAGAAATATCGACATGTATTTTCTTATAATATTCTTGTCAGGTTTTGAAATCAATGTTATGCCAGCATGATAAAATGAGCTGAGAAGAGTCATTTATTTTTCTATTATCTGAAAGATTTTCTTTATTAAATGTTTACTAGAAGTTGACAGGAGGCTTTTTTTTGGTGGCAAAGTTTTTAAATTTCTTTCATTGAAATGAACTATTCATACTTCTATATGTTTTTGCTTTTTGTGGGCATTTGTATATTTTATCTAAATTTTCAAATTTTTTTGCATAAAAAATTATGCTGTATTTTCTTATGCTGTTGTTAAATTTTGTAGAATCTGTGATATATTACCTTTTCATTCTTGATGTTGGTTATTTGTGTCTTCTCTGTTTTTTTCCTTGTCCTAAATGCTTGTCAATTTTAATAATCCTTTCAGAGCACCAGCACTTTTGAGGTTTTTAAATCCTGTCTATTCTATGGTAGTTTTTTATATCAATAATATTTGCCCCCATCTTTATTATTTCCCTGTAAATTCGCCCCCATATATATTCATTTCCCTTTAAATTCTTTGGGTTTATTGGCTGTTCTTTTTCTAACCTCTGGAGATAGATGCTCAGGTAGTTGATTTTGAGACTTCTTTTTCTTTTTTTAATATATGTATTTAGATCCTTAAATTTAAGCATATCTACATCTGAATCTTAAATCTGGATCTGTCAGTGTCCATTGACATCCACTTAAGAAGATTTTTCTAATTACCATTATGATTTTCTAAAGCCTATGTTATTCAGAAGTGTAGTGTATAATTTCCCAATATTTGGGGATTTTTCTATTCCTTCATTAGCGTCAGATATTTTATATGAAAAGCTGTAGAAGTTCTTTGAGCCTCTAGATGATGTTATGTTCCCTCTGCAAGGATGTACTCTTTGCTTCTGATGCGTTGCTAGACTAGAAGCAGGTAGTCTGAGTTCAGAGTCAAATGGGCTTCAGTCATTTGATGGCTGGTTTATTTCAGATTCACCTCTACCTCTGGGCTATAGTTCTACAGGGTTGTTTTATAAAAACCTGGGGTGTCTATAAGGGCACCTTCTCTTTGGAAAGTCCAAGTCTTGGCTTTTCATGCTTTGAGCCATCCATTTTGTACTTGGCACTAGCTTTAAGGGGTAACAGGATACCAGATGCCAGGCTCATCTCTCTTGCCTCCCTCCTCTCCCATGTCTTGGCCCATAGATTCCTATTGTCTTGGTAACCATTTTATGTTTTCAAAAAGATTAGTAAGAATATTGTATATGGGTTTTCCAGTTCTCTACTGGCTGAAACAACTTTTTGGCATTGCTGTGAGCAGAGGGTCCTTATGTCATTCTACTTTAAGTCAAAATCATATATTTAAGTTCTACTTCTGCTGCTTGCTGGCTGTTTGCATAAATCAACTAAACTCCCTAAGTCTTAGTTTCCTCATTTGAAAATGGGAATAATAGCGGTACTTAACCTTATGGGTTTACTGTAAGGGTTCAAAGGGTATACCTAAGTAAAGCATTAGGACACAAAATATGTGCTATATAATTTTTTGCCATTATTATAATTGTATTCCTTATTATCACCCACAAGAAGCACTTAAATAAGTTCTAAGTATATTGTTAGCCATCAATAAATATTTCTTAGCTTTAGTTTTATACATAAAACACTTAAACATACACATAAATGCCGTTTAGTAAGCCATAAGGAATGTAGGCTTCAGTTACAAGATTGTGTTGGAAATTTGAAGGTGATAATATCCAGATGATGGCAGGCTGTGGTCTCTAGGGGGCATGGTCAAAGGTAGGTTACCATAAATAGAAGTGCAGTTCTTAGCCCTTCAATTTTAGAATATTAATCCTGATGCTGACATCACTAGAATTGGGGATGATGACTCACACTAACCTAATTCAAAAGAGACTGATACATAAGCCAAAAATTCCAGTGTATTAATTTACAATGAGAAGTCTCCTTGTCATGCCTTCTAAAAATGCTTGTATTAGTATTACCAATACATTCTGCTTATAGACAGTTCTATTTGGGAAACCAAATTGTGATTAAAAATCTTGGTGCACACGGACTATGGCAGGGGGAGAACTCTCCAGTTAGAACTCTTTCCCACCTTAAGACTGGTCTTGCCAGGGTGGATACTGTTCCAGTACAATGTTAGTCAAGCACTGATGATAGTGTCTATTTTGTCCTAATTCACCACTTCACCACTGTCCAATTAACCCATTCTTTGGATTTATTATTAAAATAATTGATGAGGATATACTTCTTCTAGAACCAGTGCCATATATATATGTATATATTAGGTGAATTAGGACAAAATAGACACTATCATCAGTGCTTGACTAACATTGTACTAGAACCGTATCCACCCTGGCAAGACCAGTCTTAAGGTGGGAAAGAGTTCTAACTGGAGAGTTCTCTCCCTGCCATAGTCCGTGTGCACCAAGATTTTTAATCACAATTTGGTTTCCCAAGTAGAACTGTCTATAATATACACACATATATATATATATATATATGGGATCTTACGATCAGACAGATTAGTATTCGAATGTCATCTCTACCATTTAGTTGGTGTGTGATCTTGGACATATTTCTTATATTCTCTGGGCTTCAGTTTCATACCCATAAAATGAAGCATAAGCCTGCTTCATAGGAGTCTTGTAATGATTAAACTGCATCATCAATTTAAGGCATTTGGTCTCCTGCAACATAGAATATGCTCAACAAATTGTAGCCCTTATGCTTTTGGTCAAGGAAGTAGACTATGTATTCTTGACTATATGTATTAATTTTAGAATTTCACACTTTAGTGCCTGTCTCTAAGCTCTTATCCTTGTATAATTGCAGATGTTTCTCCTTTGGTATTGGAGAAGGAGCCTCCACCAGCCTAATAAAAGGCATTGCCCGGGTGGCAGGTGGCACTTCAGAATTTATCACAGGCAAGGACAGGATGCAGTCCAAGGTGAGGGACAGGCCTGTGTCCAGAAGGGGTGATGCAGAAGGAGTGTGGAGCAGGGGGGACATTGCCACAAGGGCAGAAGCATAGCTTGACACCAGGATTCATATTCTTATATCCATAGCACCTTGGGCTATCATACATAGTGGGGCTACTTTGGACCTTATGTAAAAGGGGCCCACTGTAGTTTCTGGAGAAATGGCATCTGGTCCTACTAGTTGGAAGCCCAGAGACAAGATGCTGGAAGAGGTTAGGGCTTTGTGTTTAAGACCAGAAATAGAGAAACAGAGAATTTTGACTGTCATGATTGAGATTCTAGATGTGTGCTTGAGGAAGTCTTCTGGTTGGCTATATCCTATCCTCCATGCACATGAGACAAAGAAAACAAGAAGGAACAATTGTAGTATGTCTGGTAGATTGGTACAGGTGGTACGTTGATACTCCATTTGGTTAGTATACACAGGGAAGGCATCTTCTAGCTCTGCTTCTACTTGTAAGTTCCTCTTTTTCGGGTGATGTTATCCTTTACCTTATCCTCCCTCACCATGTCCTAGTATAGTATTAAGGAGTAGACATAGCATATACTGTGTTGCATAGAATCTGGTGCGTAATAAATATTCAGCTAACAGTGGTCATTATTGCTATTATTATATTTTGTGCTTATTCTGTTCTCTTTCCTCCACCAGGCTCTTAGGGCCCTGAAACGTGCTCTACAGCCTGCAGTAGAGGATATTTCTGTGAGCTGGGATTTGCCTCATGGCCTGTCTGCTAAAATGCTTTCACCAGAACAGACTGTCCTCTATAAGGGTCAGAGGTTAATCGTCTATGCCCTTTTGAGTGGGACCATGCCTGTGAGTTCCTATTCATGTTTGTTCCTCTCATCAGAGTAGCTACTTCCCTAAACTCTACTCTGGACAATTTTCTTAAAACCGATGGAGTCTCATCAAGAGATCACACTTGCCGGGTGGAGCCAGTCTACTCCCCTTCTCCATAATTTCAGGTTTCTGATTTCCTGAGCTACCTGGTTCCTAGTCAGACATTTTAATGTGTTGGGTTGGGGAACGGCCTCAGTTGTGAACTTTCTCTTGGTGACCTCTCCCTTACATCATGTCTACTCTTCTCTACTTTGTAGCCAGCAGAGGCGACAGGAGAAGTCTACCTCAAGTACACACTCCAGGGCAAGAATTTGGAGAATAGGGTGACATTTTCTCTACAACCCAAGCCTGATGACAAGTGAGAATTCTGTTTGCTTTGCTATTTTCTTTCTCTCTCTCTCTTTCTTCTTTCTTTCTCTGCCATCATCGAGAGGGTTGGTTTCTTTCTCTTAATTTGGGGGGCTCAGTTGTGTCCCTACAATCATTTTACCTTTCTAACCCATTCAAGTCTTATCTCTTCCTTTATCTGGCATTTTCCTCTTTCTGCCAATGCTAACTTCTGAGGGCCCTGAGTAACTGGCACATGCGTGCTCTTCCCTAAGTCACGGGGATGATTCTCTTTTAGCTTCACCATTCACCGCCTTGCTGCCAAGTCCTTTCTCCAGGCCAAGGACATGGGCTTCAGGGATACTCCAGCAAAAGATAAAAAAGATGTGCTGAAAATCAGCATTGATTGTGGAGTCATAAGCTCCCAGACAGCCTTCATTGCGGTCAACAAGAATCTCAACAAGCCAGTTCAGGGGCCCCTGACTCGTAGGGATGTTCCAAGGCCAATTCTGTTGGGTGCAGCTTCAGTGATGCCACAATACCTTGGATGTGGTGAGTTTTACCCCCTTGGAACTCATGTAAATTAAGGGGCTCTGGATATCTAAACACATCATTTGAAGTAAAAACCTGTGATGTTGAATTTTTTCCCCTGTCTCTCCACATCTAGGATTTCTGGCTGGTGTGGTGCCTTTCTAGGGAACTAGAAAATATGCCATAGGCAATGAGATTTTAAATAATCCAAGGGAAAAAAAAACAAGGACAATTGAAACAAAGTGCACATAAACACTGAGTATTCAAACTGTCTAAATCTGGAGCTGATCCTATGGATAATTCAATGGTTAATGATTATACAGATGGCTGATGGGAGTGATCTGGGAGTGTTAGGGAATGGGTGTCCCAGGTGAAAGCCAAGCAGGCTTGAGTATAGATATGAGGAGCTTAAAGGTTAGAATCATGGCGAAATTTCCTGGGCAGGATTCTGTGGCTGGAGGGGAATATGTGATGTGAGCTGTAGAGGCAGGCTTCAAGGTGAGCCCAGAGTTTTGTTTAGACAACTGCATGTATAATGGTATCATTTATTTAAATAAAGTAACAAAAGTATAGGAGCAATTTTAGAAGGTATCATGTTGAATTATTTTTGAGTATTTTGAACTCGAGATCCCTATGGAATATGCACATGAAGATGCCCAGTAGAAAAACAAATAGATGGGCTGGTGTTCAGAAGAGAGCTCAGGGACAAAGATACATATCTGGCAATATTTAACATCTAGGTCATAACTAAAATCAGGAGAATAGTTGAGATTATTCATGGGGCAGGTATAGAGTGAGATGAAAGGGGGATGAAATTGAAACACTGAAGAAAACCCAGTATCTAGGGATGGGTAGCAGAGCGTTCCTCAAACCAAAATAAAAAAGGAATGAAGTAGGAAGAAAAGTGCATATTCAAAACAAAGGAAACTATGATATAACAAAGGGAATTATCAAAGTATCAGATACTGCAGACAAGTCAAAGTAAAAACTTGAAAGGGGATGATGGGGTTACTTATCAAAGAAGTTCTTGTTCATGTAATCAAGAGCAATTTCATTGGCTTAGATTGGGAAAGAATCCGTATTACAGAATGTTAAAGAGAAAGAGAGGTGGGAAATGAGCATATAGACACTTTTGATAAACATTTAGCTGAAAAGGGGAATAAATAGAGAGTGGTATGTATAGAAGTTGTAGAGTTGAGGTGGATTTTTGTGTGTTTATTATATCTCTTTAAAATTTCAGAATGGGAGAGATTTGAGGATGTTGTAACACCAGTAGGAGAGTGTCAGCAGAGAGGGTTGACATTTTTGGGGAGGGGAAAAGGGTAGTTAATTGAAATGGGTGTTCGAGGAAGAGAAGATGACCCATAGAGCAGCAGTGGAAGGATTAGCCTGTAACAGGACAAGTATTAGGACACTCTCCCACTGTTGCCAGGAAGAGGAGGAAAAGTGGTGGGATTCAATTCTAGTTCACAGGCTGAGAGGCAAGAGCTTGGAGTTTCTGTCTGATAGGTTTTTTTCAATAGTTTTTTTTTTTTTTAAAGATTTTATTTATTTATTTGACAGAGAGAGAGACAGTGAGAGAGGGAACACAAGCAGGGGGAGTGGGAGAGGGAGAAGCAGGCTTCCTGCCGAGCAGGGAGCCCGATGCAGGGCTCAATCCCAGGACCCTGGGATCATGACCTGAGCCGAAGGCAGATGCTTAACGACTGAGCCACCCAGACGCCCCAGGTTTTCAATAGTTTTAGTGAAAGAGACAGCAAAATTCACTAATGAGTATGAAACAAGAAGCGGTAGAATAGAGGGTTTGAGGAAAGGGTTTGCAGTAGCTCCATGGACAACTGGAGAGTGAAATTCCCAGGGAGAAATAAGGCATTTGCCAAGGAGTGTTGAGGGTCCAGTTTAATTTTGATATCTTGACTTTTTTAGTGGCACTAAACTAGCAAAGGGAAGCATACCCCATGTGATTCATTTCAGCGGGACTCAGCAGCTTTGGTGTAAGAACAAAGGGGGCAGAGTGTTGGCTCACTTTCGAGGTTGGGGTTTTGCCAGATGGGTGTGATGAAAAGGAAATCAGATACTTGGAGAGACTGGTAAGAGAGTGGTGAAGTGTGGGACCTGGGATTGAAGCTAAATAGAAAAGAGACTAAAGACAGAAGGAAGTGGATCGTAGGGAAAAAGCAGAGGAGACACAGACTGAGAAATCCAGATGAAGTCAAAGGCCAGGTAAAAGACAGATCTCTGAGTTAGAAGGCTGCAAAAATTGGAGACTGCATTTAAAAAGTAGGATTATTGTGTGTGTGTGTATGTGTGTGTATTTTCCAATCTGTTTTTTACAGGTGGAACAGTTTTGCTGGATAATGAGATTCTGGCTTGGGAAGGAGTGACTGAAATAGATTGGAAGCTGAAGCCCTTTGATTTGAGGAAGTCAAGAAGCTTTGAATGAGGGTGCTGGATGGGTTATCTACAAGGGTACCGAAATCTCTGCAGTTGATGGCAGGCCTTGCAATGAAGCGCAGGTCTAGAAACTAGCATTCCGATACTTTAGTGAATAATGGAAAGTGACAGAGAGGTTGGAGGTTGACAGCATTAAGGTATGAGGAAGGCAATCCAGATGAGGGTGGAGCAGTAATGACCCGGATGCCACAATTGGGACTGGAGAGGTTGCCAATCCCACCTTCCAAACCTGGGTACTTGGGCTATGTAGTACCTTGAGAGAGCACCCTGTGAAAGGGATAGAGGGAGAACAGTTTTTGGAAGAAAAAAATTAATTTTTAAGTTAAGACAAGTAGTTGGAAAAAGCCTCCTGTAATGAAAGGAAGGATGCAGGAAAGATCATTGTCAGGTATCAAGGGTTCCAGAGGGCACAGTAGGAAGGGCTCAGGTGGTGAGCATGTGTGTAGGAGGTGCGCTCATGGGAGAAGAAAAAAATGCTCAGTAAATATGGTGGCTGAGGCAGACATGGATAGGAGGGCAGGTGTCCCACATTCTCAGGGCCCTTTGCCCATAGCAGAGAGCAGAGGAGCCTCAGTCTTAATGTCTGTACTGGTGTTTTTCAGCTCTTCCAAATGCCAAGTCCTCCTACTTTTCCCCTGCATCTCAGCCCACACGGACCAGTCGTTATGAGGGTATGCCAGATCAGCGGGATGGTTGCAAACCCTGTAGGCCCATGGTTAGCAAGGACCTGTGCGCTCTAGGTAAGCATCTTTCCAGGGACTTTTTCTCACCCATGTTTGTCTCTCACCTGTGTAGAACTGGACAGACCCCATGCTCTTGGTCATAGACTAAAGAAGAAATGCATGTTTCTCCAAAAGGCCTCTCCTCAGATGGCAAGGGCTCATTCTCCCACCAATAGGACCAACTTTGAAACTCATTGTACCGGTGAGATTGGCCTCAGTTCTCTTCTCTGATCTGTGGGATTGAAGAACTAATCTTCCACGCTCTACTTCCTTTGGCTTTCTCTAGCTAGAAGGTAATCTGTTTGAAAAGTGTCAGGCAGAGGGTGAGATTTGTCCAGTCTCTATGTTTGCCGGGGTCAGCCTTAGATTAGTCTATGGTATAGGACCCTGAAACGTAGCCAGCAGAGTCTGGGTCAAGCCCTGGTTAAACGTTGCCATCTCAGCAGGCTGGGGGCCTCCCCCTGCAGAACTCTGCTGCCGCCCTGTTTGGGCCACCTGCTGCACTGGTCAGCCTTTTACAAGTTGGGTTTGAAAAGAGATCTTCCCAATGCTGGCTAATGACTTCTGTTCTGTCACCAAAGGGTATTCTTGGTCATTACCTTGTGTTCCAAACAGCTGGGCTTCTCATGTACATGACAAATTGAGTCAAAGTACATTTGGCACCAAGAAGTACCTTTTTGACCAGAATGAGCTTAAAGGCAACTTCTTTCTAGTCTCCGATCTTTGTAGCAAGAGTTTGTGGTATACAGTTGTTTAATCGTTTAAACATCTTATTTGCCATTTACCCTCTACTTATTCATTCTCTTTAGGTTGCTAGTTAAAGAGAGGGCTTCAGGGTCTCAGGTGGAGTCAGATCTCTGTCTTCCCAATTACTGTGGGGTTTTAGGTAAATTAAGTCACTTTCCAGAGGCTTAGCTCCCTCAGCTGCACAACTACTCACCTTACAGGGTTATCATGAGAAAATTCTTAATGTTAGTCACAGAGTAGCTTCTTGCTTTTTGTTAGTTCCCTAGGCCGTCCCAACTTAGAATATTCCAGCTTCAACCTTTCTCTCTTACGAATCCTCTTACCAGAGTAGAGAGAAAAATTACCCAGGAATGTTAACCTTCTGGTTCTTGTGAGCTAATTAGCAACTGCTTCTTTTATTTTTTTTCTTTAAATTTTTTTATTGTTATGTTAATCACCATACATTACATCATTAGTTTTTGATGTAGTGTCCCATGATTCATTGTTTGAGTATAACACCCAGTGCTCCACGCAGAACGTGCCCTCCCCAATACCCATCACCAGGCTAACCCATCCCCCCACCCCTCCCCTCTAGAACGCTTAGTTTTTCAGAGTCCATAGTCTCTCATGGTTCATCTCCCCCTCCGATTTCCCACCCTTCATTCTTCCCCTCCTGCTATCTTCTTCTTCTTCTTCTTTTTTTTAACATATAATGTATTATTTGTTTCAGAGGTACAGGTCTGTGATTCAACAGTCTTACACAATTCACAGCACTCACCATAGCACATACCCTCCCCAATATCTATCACCCAGCCACCCCATCCCTCCCACCCCCCACCACTCCAGCAACCCTCAGTTTGTTTCCTGAGATTAAGAATTCCTCATATCAGTGAGGTCATATGATACCTGTCTTTCTCTGATTGACTTATTTCGCTCAGCATAACACCCTCCAGTTCCATCCACGTCGTTGCAAATGGCAAGATTTCATTCCTTTTGATGGCTGCATAATATTCCTATATATAGAGAGAGAGATAGGAATATATCTATCTATCTATCTATCTATATATATATCACCTCTTCTTTATCCATTCATCTGTCAATGGACATCTTGGCTCTTTCCATAGTTTGGCTATTGAGGACATTGCTGCTGTAAGCATCGGGGTGCACATACCCCTTCGGATCCCTACATTTGTATTTTTGGGGTAAATACCCAGCAATTGCTGGATCATATGGTAGCTTTATTTTCAATGTTTTGAGGAACCTCCATACTGTTTTCCAGGGTGGCTGCACCAGCTTGCATTCCCACCAACAGTGTAGGAGGGTTCCCCTTTCTCCGCATCCCAGCCAACATCTGTCGATTCCTGACTTGTTAATTTTAGCCATTCTGACTGGTGTGAGATAATATTTCATTGAGGTTTTGATTTGGATTTCCCTGATACTGAGCGATGTTGAGCACTTTTTCATGTGTCTGTTGGCCATTTGGATGTCTTCTTTGGAAAAGTGTCTGTTCATGTCTTCTGCCATTTCTTGATTGGATCATTTGTTCTTTGGGTATTGAGTTTAAGAAGTTCTTTATAGATTTTGGATACTAGCCCTTTATCTGATATGTCATTTGCAAATATCTTCTTCTATTCTGTTGGTTGTCTTTTGGTTTTGTTGACTGTTTCTTTTGCTGTGCAAAAGCTTTTTATCTTGAAAAGGTCCCAATAGTTCATTTTTGCCCTTGCTTCCCTTGCATTTGGCGATGTTTCTAGGAAGAAGTTGCTGCGGCTGAGGTCGAAGAAGTTGTTGCCTGTGTTCTCCTTTAGGATTTTGATGGACTTCTGTCTCACATTGAGGTCTTTCAACCATTTTGAGTCTATTTTTGTGGGTGGTGTAAGGAAATGGTCCAGTTTAATGCTTCTGAATGTGGCTGTCCAATTTTCACAACACCATTTGTTGAAGAGATGTCTTTTTTCCACTGGACATTCTTTCCTGCTTTGTCAAAGATTAGTTGACCATAGAGTGGGGGGTCCATTTCTGGGCTCTCTATTCTGTTCCATTGATCTATGTGTCTGTTTTTGTGCCAGTACCGTACTGTCTTGAGGATGACAGCTTTGTA